CGTCCTCATCCACCCAGGCGGCTTTCCTGGCCGGCTGGAGCTGCAGTCGAGCCTCGTTCTCATCCTCCGATTCACCGGACTCCTCGTCTTCGTCCTCCACCAGCAGAGTGTCAGTCCGCTCCTCATCCTCCTGCTCAACGACAGGAAGTGCAGATTTAAACACCAACACGGAATCTGAGCTGATCAACTACATTTTTAAAAACAACTGAGGGACGTGAATATGAAGTGCATCAGTGAAGCTCAAGTTTCTCTGACAAAGAACCAAACTCCATTCAGAAAGTGTACAAGTTCATATTCCTTTGCTTGTCAGTAATTACACAACCCTGGTAGAACGACACATTAAGTGCTGTATGATTCATAAATTCTAGCTCATTACTTCGGCATAAATCCCACATAAATTCTCCATATACTTTCATCGATTTGTCATGAATCCTACCTTCCAAAATTTCCACTGTTGGTGTCAACAAAATAAACGATATGACTCCTGGAGAACAGCCTGTAGCAAACAGCTGGTTAAACAGCAGCTAAATGTTGCTACTGGAGAAATTAAACTTTATGTTGAGGTCAAACTGAAGTGAATTTGCTGCGTCATAAACGTCGCCATGTTTGTTTATGACCAGGAGAACATAACATTTGCAGCTTACATGTTTATTTACAAACTTTAGGTTGACACCGTTGAAGTCACGTTTTGCTAGTAGAGAACAGGTGAGCCGAATTTACCGGAAGTAACTAAAATCATTAGAAGTTTTAAAGTTTTTGCCCTAAAAACAGCAGTAATTTCTGAAGGGAGTCCGGGGGAGCCTCACCTCCACCAGCCTCTCCAGCAGCTCGGCCTCCGCTCCGAACACCAGCTCCTCCAGCAGCTTCACCGAGCTGTCCTTCTCCCCCAACACCGCCAGACTCTTCACGTTCTTCTGCCGTTTTTGTTCTTCTTCTTCTGGGTCAAACCGCGGCGGTCGAGCTCTCTTCGTGGCCGGTCCTCTCTCCTCCGTCACCGGCAGCTTGATGACGTTCATGTCCGCCATGTTTTCACCAAAACTCCAAACAGAAAACTACCAATTTATAACCAACCGTAGCGACATGTGGAGAACAGTAGTTTGTATTTTCTATCGCCGGGCAGCAGCTGATGTTGATGCACATGTGCGACCCTGTTTTTTTTCCTTCACGTTAAATCACGTGCTTCCGGAAAGGTCACCTCTTCCGACCGTGAGAAAATAAAAGTCTGCCCCCCAGTGTTCAGAGACAGAACTGCAGCGCGCTGACCAAAATTAAACTATCTTTGTTGTATTATTATAAACTCATTTTAATTTGACCTGTTTATTAGTTAATATATTGATTAGTAAATTATTCAAATACTTGAATTTGAACATTCTATTTATTAATGAAATACCTATTATTTATTTATTTGCCTCCAAAATCTCCTGTTTTTATCATCCATGAAGATGTCAATCAGTTGAGTGCTTAATAAACATTTCCCATCTTTATAAAAGATTGGCAATAAAAATACTTTTGATTAATGTAAAACCCTTCCACAATAATGTCCACAAGAGGAAAGTACTATCTGCTGAATCTTTGCATTTTGTACAAGAAAATCATCTATTGTTAAAAAGAAATCCACTTTCTCACAGTGAATCAAACACCAGAGCTTCTGCACACATGACCACAAACAAGTAGCTATGGTTACCAAAAAACCCCAGTTATTTAGGTGTGGCTCTTTTAATCTTAAAGACAGAAACAGGAAACAGAATCAGTAAATGATGAGAGTTTATTTCAGAGTTCAAACAGCTGCAGTTAAAATAAGGAGAGACCAGTGAGAGCGAGCATGCTGTTAAACTGGGACTGTCCCAGTTTGGACCTAAAGCTACAGTTTGACACTATCACCACTACAGGTATCATCACTACAGATCGTCCGTCCTCCAGGAAATAATAAGTCACAGTTATTCACAGGTTTCTGTTTGTTTAGAAGCTTTGTACACGCTCTGACTGACGGAGGAGATTTACAGCAAACAGTTCGTAAGGCAAACAGAGCAGCGGGGGGGGGGGGCAGTTAAAAATGCATCGACTGTATATTCATATTCAGATGTTTCCCGGTGTCAGATATGATATAGATTAATACAGAGGAAAAGTTCAGACATAACAGGTAATTCTGATGTCATCATAACTTTCAGTCTAAATTATGGTTCAGTTTGGAAGAACAATAAAACACCATCAATCTTTAACGGTTTTAATTGTTTTAAATTATTAAAAAATGGAAATTCAAAAAAAAAAAAAGTCTTACTATGTTTTGTATATTTTTCTGTCATTTGCTATTTTTAAGTTTGTTCATGTCTTTATTTTGTTCAAGGAAAACTTATTTTAAAAGGGGGAATGGGGATGAATGGGGATGAATGGGGGTGAATGGGGGTGAATGGGGGTGAATGGGGGTGAATGGGGGTGAATGGGGATGAATGGGGATAAAGCTGCAGTTGATATATTTGCAGCAGACTTGATGCATCTTTAACTGGGACTGAAGCTGCAGATCCAGTGAAGAAGACCAGCTCCATGTTGATAGAAAGGGCCAGTCACAAAATAAAATCATCACTAAATAACAGTAACGAGGCTGTTTGAGCTCAGCAGGAAAATAAATTTTTCATTTGTTATTAGTGAAACGTTGGAACAGAAAAGTGCTCGGTCACATGACATAAAATAAACAACATGTCGTACATGCACAGAGAGAGAAACTGTTAGACAACTACAGAACAGAGCGTCACGCCGCACAGAACTCTGGGAAAAGTTTTTAATATAATCCGAGAAAAAAAGTCAATGTCACGTGAGAAAAGTCACAACATCATGAGAATAAAGTTAACTTTAACAACAAGTCCTAATAATGTGAGACGTCTTTATTTATTGTAACATTATCGCTTCATTCACTTCTGGAGTTTTTACTTTATCTCGACCGTTTACTTTACTTTTAATATGAGATATTTTCTCCAGTTTATTCTTTTACTTTTATTTCTACTTGTGACATTACGACTATACTCATAATAAACATGATGTGACTTGTGATATTACAGACTAATAATTATGACAATTATCATTTTTTCTGTATTTGTAAAATCACTTTTGTTGTAATAATGACTTTAATGACTTTTCTCTTGTAACGTTACTTTACTCACATTATGACTTTTTACCCATAAAATTAATTTTTACTCTTCAACATTATTAATGTTAGAGCTGCAACACTTTACGACTAACTGAGTAGTTTATGGAAAGAAAATTCATCAGCATTTATTTAGACAGTTCATTTGATTTTAATGTCAATTTTCAAGCAAAGATGAAAAATATTTGATTTTTTCTTTATCAATGTGAAAACAAGAAACAAACGTCTGAACTGAGACAATAATTCACAGATAACTGATCGACTGATACTGAAAATAATCATTAGTTGCAGCTCTAATTCATTTATTCTCTAAATATCAACGTTTTCCCATAAAATTATAATTTCATCTCAAAATTCTGAGACTTTTTACTTGTAAAATTCAGATTATTTATTATATTGTTTAACATCACATCATGTGTCTCACTTTCTGTTCCACTTCCAGACAGTTTTTCCCTGAACATCGTGTGTCAGGTTCACCTGAGCGTCCATCAGGTTCACCTGAGCGTCGTGTGTCAGGTTCACCTGAACACGCTGACGTGCGTTCATCAGTCCGCTCTCAGTCATTTGTAATCATTTAACACTGCTTGTAGAAGCTGAAGCGTCGCCACCATGCTGCTCACACAAAGACGACATGCCACAGGTTAGTGTTAGTTACAGAGGGGGAGGAGTCCAGGTGAGTTTCTCTGGTTCACTTCAGTCTTGGCACTTAAAGACTCGACCTCGTCAGAAACGGATCTCTATCCGCACTGGAGGTCGAATCAGGTCGCGTCCCTCCAAAATAAAGCACGTCACATCGCTGACATCACCAGGACAGGTGTGTCTGATGATGATGACACAGGTGAGTTTAAGTATGTACAGGTGTTTTTATCCTCTTCATGTTGGTTCAGCAGGTAGTCATAAAAACTGATTTCAGCTCAGTTTACTGTCAATCTGGACCCCTCAGATCCAGATCCAGGTCCAGATCCAGATCCTGGTCTTGGTCCAGATCCAGATCCAGATCCAGATCCAGATTCTGGTCTTGGTCCTGGTCCAGGTCCAGGTCCAGCCTGCTGAAGGACATGTTGCTGAGTTCAGTGTGAGTTTGTCTTTCCTCTGAATCATGAACATTAAAAGGAACAGTTCAACATTTTGGTAACTTTCTTTCTTGTGTTAGATGCTCAGATGAGACGTGGTTAGCCTAGCATAGCCTAGCCTAGCCTAACTTAGCTTAGTTTAGCATAAAGACGGTCCGTAACAACACACCTATTAATAAAAGCGGGAGCAGGAAGTGAAGCTAAATCAAAGACTGACATTTCTTAACAAGTAACTAGCCATCACCTGTTCATGGTAACCAGGCAACAGGCAGTCTCCTCCAGTCAGCTGATTTCTGACCAGAGAGAAAACTTCCCACAATGCTGAGGTGTTCCTGTTCATGATCCAGACTTCCTACTCTCAGTTGAACTGCAGCAGATCCTTCACTGAGAACCAGAACCATCCAGAACCTGAACCCAGAAAACCACTAAAGGTCCCTGCAGCAACTTTCAGCTCCACAAACTGTTCTTCTTCATGTGCCCGATGTCCAGACGGACGAGGAGCTGCTCGTTGGTCATGCAAACAAAAAGTGCAAGTGCAAAAATAAAAATAAAAATAAAAACTAAAGGGTGGTGCAGACCAGAGAAGAAGAAGCTGCTCCTCATCCTCCTCCTCTTCAGACACACGATTGGTCAACTCGTCTCTCTGTCAGACTGACCGCCAGCCAATCAGCTGTGAGCGAGGATGAGGTGGCGATGGAGGAGGCGAGGACGATGAAGATGGAGGCTGCAGAAGTTTTTTAACACGATGGAGGAGGATGTGTGTGTGTGTGTGTGTGTGTGTACGTGTGTGTGCATGCGTGCGTGTGTGTGTGTGTGTGCGTCCAGCTGTGTTGTAGTTTCCATGGTTCACCTCCCGACAGGAGGAAGGGGAGGAGCTCCTCTCATCACTGAAACAAACAGAATCAACGACTCATGTTATTGTACGTCTCAATGTTTCCTCAGGTGAAGTGACAACTGCCCCCCCCCCCTCTCATTACATCATATAATATCATATTACGTTTTATTAAAAGCCCGTTCAGGAAGAGAAATGTGAAGAACTAATTCTACTAATACTATAATCCTCCTTTTCCACCAGTGAAAATAAGGTTTGTATTTTCTGATGTCAGTCGTGTTTCATGGCGTCGGCCCTGAACAGGTGTGGTGCTCGTACCTCTGTTGGCCTTGCTGGGGTAGATCTTGGTGAAGTGTCTGTACTCGTCTGGAGGAGGGAAATCGTCCAGAGGATGAAACGAATACTTGGACTCAAAGTCGTCTGTGGGAAGAGAGACAACACGTCTTTCTTTTAACACCTGCTGGTTATTCAGATGGAGGCAGCAGAGGCCAGATGTTTGAAGACAGAGGAAGAGGAGGAGGAGGAGGAAGAGGAGGAGGAGGGAGAAGAATGAAGCCATGAAGAGATGACGTCCAAACTGAATCAATAACTAAACACTGAGCGTCTCACATGAGGAAAGAAATCACGACAACAAAGATTTAAATCTTAAAGCAGCAGAAACTTCAATATTTTATTTTGAAACTGAAAACTAATTGATTAACGGAGGAAGTGATCAGCAGCAGTGATTAATCAATACAGGAAACAGAGCTGCTGTTGTGTTCAGGTGTTTGATGGAGAGACTCACCGACGAACGAGCGAGGGATGGAGGAGGAGGAAGAGGAGTGTCCGTTGCGGAGGGGAGGGGGAGGCGGGGGAGGAGCAGCAGGGGTGCGGGTGGGCGGGGGAGGAGGTTTCCCTCTGGTGGGGGGCTCAGAAGAGAGGGAGGGGCTACCATGTGTCCTGTAAGGCGGGGGAGGCGGGGCTTCTCTGCCCCCGGCCCTCGAAGACGACGACTGGACCGGAACAGGGGGAGCTGAGAGGAGATATCAATACAGGTGATCAGCACTGATGTTCAATACAGGTGATCAGNATTACGTTTTATTAAAAGCCCGTTCAGGAAGAGAAATGTGAAGAACTAATTCTACTAATACTATAATCCTCCTTTTCCACCAGTGAAAATAAGGTTTGTATTTTCTGATGTCAGTCGTGTTTCATGGCGTCGGCCCTGAACAGGTGTGGTGCTCGTACCTCTGTTGGCCTTGCTGGGGTAGATCTTGGTGAAGTGTCTGTACTCGTCTGGAGGAGGGAAATCGTCCAGAGGATGAAACGAATACTTGGACTCAAAGTCGTCTGTGGGAAGAGAGACAACACGTCTTTCTTTTAACACCTGCTGGTTATTCAGATGGAGGCAGCAGAGGCCAGGTGTTTGAAGACAGAGGAAGAGGAGGAGGAGGAGGAGGAGGAGGAGGGAGAAGAATGAAGCCATGAAGAGATGACGTCCAAACTGAATCAATAACTAAACACTGAGCGTCTCACATGAGGAAACAAGTCACGACAACAAAGATTTAAATCTTAAAGCAGCTGAAACTTCAATATTTTATTTTGAAACTGAAAACTAATTGATTAACGGAGGAAGTGATCAGCAGCAGTGATTAATCAATACAGGAAACAGAGCTGCTGTTGTGTTCAGGTGTTTGATGGAGAGACTCACCGACGAACGAGCGAGGGATGGAGGAGGAGGAAGAGGAGTGTCCGTTGCGGAGGGGAGGGGGAGGCGGGGGAGGAGCAGCAGGGGTGCGGGTGGGCGGGGGAGGAGGTTTCCCTCTGGTGGGGGGCTCAGAAGAGAGGGAGGGGCTACCATGTGTCCTGTAAGGCGGGGGAGGCGGGGCTTCTCTGCCCCCGGCCCTCGAAGACGACGACTGGACCGGAACAGGGGGAGCTGAGAGGAGATATCAATACAGGTGATCAGCAACGATGTTCAATACAGGTGATCAGCACTGATGTTCAATACAGGTGATCAGCACAGGTAACGTGCAGAAAAATGAACAAAGTAAAATTACAAAAAAAAAGAAAAAAAAAAGAAAAAAAAGAAAAAAGAAAATTATACTAATTACATATAAATAAAGAATTATTATAATAATTAAAAGAAAAAAATTAAATTATGAAAAATATAAAATCTTAAAAATTCAGAAAAATGTGAATAACTGAATTTTAAACATGAAATAAAATGATGATATATCTTTTTTTATTTTTCAATTTAAAATACATAATTTAAATAATGGAAACGTTTTAGAAAACAAAATAAAAAATAAAAAAAATTAACTAATATTTTAAAAAATCTAAAATACATTAGTTTTTTAAATTCCAGAAAATACTGATTAAAAAATAAAGTGACACAGAAACAAAAATAAACTGATTTTCTCTTCTGAAGACCTCCTGACTTTTAGTTCAGAAACACCGGGTCCTACATTTCCCATAATGCACTAGTCATTCAGTAGAGCCTCTCTGCAGTCACACCTCCAGCATGGACCGATGACATCACGGTGACATCATCATTCTTGTGACAGATGAACTGAAACGTTTTAATCAGCTGTTGAACCCTCACCTGCTCCTCTACCTGGCGCCTCTCTGACAGGGGGCGGCGGCCTGTTGGCACCTTGTTGGGAGGGGGTGGGAGAGGAGGGGGGTGGAGGTGGAGCGGGGCCTCTTGTGGGGGTGTGGCCTCCAGGTGAGGGGGCGGTCCTCTTACTGCTGAGTGAGTTGTGACGCTGCGGCAGCTCGGGCGCCGCCTCCCCACTGCCACCTGTCGGACCATTGGTGATGCGGTAAGGTGGAGGGGGGGGGGCCAAAGAGGAGGAGGAGGGGGTGGAAGAGGCAGGATTTCCTCCTGAGGTTGGGGGGCGTCTGCTGTTGCCAGGAGACGGGGGAGGTTTGGAGGGGAGGGGTGGGGTGTTGTTAGGGGTCGGAGGGAGGGGCTTCTCTCTGTTGTAAGAAAGAGGAGGAGGATGGAGGGGACGGGGCGTTACCACGGCGAGAAAGGGGAGGAGGGGCGGGAGGGGCGGAGGAGGAGTGCTTCATGCCAGTGGAGGGGGAGGAGGCAGCAGAGGAGGGGGAGGAGGGGGAGGGAGAGGAAGACAGGTTGGGGAGTGAAGGACGCTGGGAGCGACACGTCTCCATCGGCGATGATGCCTGAGGGGAGGGGCTCTCTGCGTCGTCATGGCGATGACTAGGGGGGCGGGGCGCTGCAGCTCGTGTGGAGGGAGAACGTCCAGAGGATCCGTCTGACACAAACGTCAACAAACAAACAATCATCATTATTATTATTGTTAATAAATCAAAACTTACGACATTAACAAACAAAAATAAAAGTAGTTTGAACATTTTCAAAGAAAAATGTAAAGCAATAAAATTCCAAGAATGATAATAGTTTTTAAATGTTAAATGTAATTATAATAGTAAAATATATTAATAAATATGACTATTATTCATATACAAAAACAGTAAAACATTAAAGTTCAAAAACAAAGAATTACTTTAAAAGTATAGATGAAATATAAATTTATAATAAAGAACAATATGCAAAATAAACAGAAAGAAAAAGAAAAAACTCCTCACCTCCGACTGGCCTCAGTTTGGGAACTCCGCCTGTGAACAGTCCTCCTATTGGTGGAACAGAACCTGAGGGGCTCGCTGCTCCGCTCCCATTGGCTCCTCCTGTTGCTGGTCCGCCTCCTTTAGGCTCTGAGAACCACAACCATTGGACAGGTGAGAGAGGGCTCCGCCTCCTGAGGGCAGGACGTCACTACACTACACCGACACTACGATGACATCACAGACGGGATGAATGAGCGTGTGATAGGAGGCGGGGCGCAGGTGAGACCAGGTGAGACCAGGTGACCACGTCAAACACTGGAATGAGGTGAGATGCAGTGAAATGAAGTGGAGTGAGATGTTAAAGTTAAATGAAGTGTTTACGCTCCCACGCAGCTCCGATGATCCGACAGCACAACAAACAGTCGAGAACATGTGATCATAATCAACGACATCACAGGTGATCAGCTGCTCAGTCACAGTTTCACTTCACACACCTGGTTTTTACTAGAGTAGAGACTGATCTGGAGTCAGTTTACAGACCTGCTCTGTGCTGGTCTATGATGCTGCAGCTGCTCGTGTTAATTTGCTGCTGACACACACTTCACCCTCCGGCTGACGTCGCTCACCACAGCAGCTTTTAATTATTACGTCTCTGTGGCAGCAACAGTCAGAGCGGCAGCCATTTTGTTTTCAGGTTGTCCATCTGTCTGTCTGAATTTCGTCACGATGGAACTTCTTTAAATTTGGTAAAAGTGTTCACCTGGACTCAAGGACGACCTGATTAGATTTTGGGGTGTAACCTGAACTAGTCTGAGTGGCGGAGGTGATTCTAGTTGAAAGTTATTTTTCACTTTCTACCATGTGGTTCAGTTTTTCATGGTTAACTTGTGTAAAGCTGAAGCTCTTACTGTATTTGATCTTTTTAGTTAGTTCTCTGTTTCTTCAGCTGCTGCGACACTTTCTCTTTTGATCTTATTCCTACTCATTAACGTTAAAGCTCCTCCAGTGTAAAGGTCTGTGTCCATGTGTAGTGTGATTATAGATCAGCTCTAGCTTCTATATTAATACTGTGAAAGTATCAAAGCCTCAGTCCACAGAGAAATGCACACAGCCTGTATTCAGAAACTGAGCCTTAAAACCAGCCGTCAGGACTTCTGGAACTTTGTGATGTCACAACAAAGCAGTCACCAAGCCCCGCCCACCTGGACCCACCATCCAAACCTTTACAGGATTTGGTTTCTCTGAGTGTTTTTACCTGAAATCTGCTGTATTTTTGTCCTTTTTTGTCTCACCTACACTTTCTGTCACATTGAATTTATCTGATTGTTTATGTCATCGTTTAGGAAACGGACAGATTACAAACATGGTGCAGTAGTAACACTAACGGGGGTGGGGCTCTGCTGGAGCAGGACAAAGGGGGAGGGGACACACTGAACCAATAGAGAAAATGTTGCCGACTGATCGATGAATTGACTGATAGTTGTGATCAGACTGAGTGGACACACTGAGGGTTCAGACCCTTTCCCACAGGACAGATGAGTTTGGAGTGAAACTCTGTGACAGTGACGTGAAGCAGACGTTTGCTCTGTGGCTGAAACAGCATCAGTTCTGCAGGAAGCTGCAGGATCTGCTCTAACCAGCCGCTCCTCCACCTGTCCATCAACTCCACACGCAACAGTTTGATGCACTGATTTGAATATCTAAATCCAGACGTCTGAGTATCTAAACCACAGTTAGTCCAAACTGATGAGAGATCAGCCGGGAAAGACAAAGAAGAGAAGCAGAATTATAAAGATAATAAAGAACAAATCAGACGAGGGACAGAGACAAACACCAACAAACAGCCAGAGTCTGTCTGAACAGATAAATGTGATCAAGTATGAGTGACATGTCTTCCTGTCCTCTCACAGACCTGATCCTGGATCAGATTCAGCTCAGGGACGCGGTCTGAGCTGATTGGCTGAGAGCTGACGACAGCATGGTTTGTCTTGATGGTGGCGCCACAGCGGCATAAACATGTTCATGTGCAAATTATTTAATCAACAGTAAACTGTCACGCCGTGTGGTGTGCTGGGACTGGACGCCATCTTGTGAGGAGCGCTCTGTTTACCTGGACCTTTCACTCATAAACTGCCACGTATTTACGTCTCAATACAAACAGGAAATTCTCCATTTAAAAAACCTCAGGGACGTTCAATAATCTCACCTGACTCAGTTTTATCCAATCAGACGCCGCCTCATACAGCATCATGCAGCAGCTGTTTTCATTCAGTGTTTGTCATTTTCAAATCACTGCATCAAACTGTGGTTGAACAAACATGATGACGGTGTTCAGCTGTGAGGTTTGGACTCTGTCTGATTATTAATTTGAATGATATAATAAATAGTGATGTGATCATCAGTGTGTCCTCCTGTGGACAGGAAACATGGCGGCTGTGTAGCTCTGACCCTCAGCCTCCTGCAGTCAGCCTCTAGTATCAGAGAAGGTTTGTGTCTTACTCTCGGAGCTCTTTTCTCCGGCCGTCTTCTTCTGCTCCTCAGACGGCGCCCCCTGCTGTTTAGGCTGGCTCTGTTGCTGGTGTAGGTATTGGTATAAGCGAATGTATGGGTGCTCTGTGGGAGGTGTTTGGCTCTTTGGTGTTTGAGTCTTACTGTCGAGCAGCGGAGCGCTACGGTCGTTCACCACCGACACCTTCTTCAGCTTGGTGCCTTTACAGATGTCTGACAGCAGAGCGCCGCGACCTTTGGCCTCCTCTCTGCTCAGCTTCGGAGGGCTGGTGTTGGCCTGGGCGGGGGCGGGGTGGGGGTGGGGGGGTTTAAACCGTCAGTTTACTACAAACTTAATCACATCACAACATTGAGGGTGTTGAACCAATCAAAGATCCTCTGTCTCTGTGGAGTTACATCAGCTTTGCCACTGAGTCATTATAATAAATAAAACAATAAAAATATAAGATAAAATAATAATATACTAAAAGAGAGAAATCAATCCAGAAAATAATCACAGAATAAAAGAACATACCAGTAAATCCACTTTAAATATATAAATAAATAAACAAAATTCTATAGAGAGCCACAGTAAACAGGTCCGTCTTGAGTTTGTTGTCCTTTTTCCACAGTGATAAAAGACACCTCACTGTGTGCTTTCGTACGTACACACGTGTGTGTGTGTGTGTGTCTGTGTCTGTGTGTGTGTGTGTGTGTGTGTGTGTGTGTGTGTGTGTGTGTCTCACCTGGCTGAAGGTGGGGGGCGGCGGGGGGCCCCCTGGTGGAGGAGGAGGAGGAGGAGGGATGGGCATCCTGCTGCTGATATAACACACACCTGAGCTGAAACACACAAACAGGACATGGTGAAGCAGATAAACACCAACTGATCAAAACAAACTTCTTCACAGCAAAATGTAGATCAATCGATCGATCAGCTGCTATTGACAAAATCAATTCATAGTTTAAAGTCATATTTTCTGGCTTCAGTGTCAGTGAACTGAACCTCTGATGCCGCCGCGGCCTCTAGGAAAATCTTCTTCACCGTTTTATTGATGATTGACTAATCAATACTATAACTGATTATAGATTAATCATTCATGAAAATAATCTTTAGTAGCAGCTCTATGAAAACAGATGCAGGAAGATCTGATGTAAGATTGATTCATACTCAGGATGAAGCAAACTGAAGAGTGTCCTCCATCCAGACCAGGTCAGACCACATCAGACCAGGTCAGACCACATCAGACCAGATTAGACCAGATCAGACCAGGTCAGACCAGGTCAGACCACATCAGACCACATTAGACCAGATTAGACCACATCAGACCAGATTAGACCACATCAGACCAGGTCCTGTTCAAAACCACAGAGCCTGCATGTGTCAGACCAGGACCTGATGACATACAGACTCTACAGATTTCTTATCGATTATCAAACATGTGTTTTATTTATTAAAAGTGAAAAAAGATCGATTTCACTGCTGTTTGTAGCTCCGTGCAGCTAGCTGGTTTAGCCTCGGCCTAGCTCTGAGCTAACACTTTAGCCTCTCTGCTCAGCTGCTCTCCAGCTGTTTACCTTAGTGATCAACATCTGTCCGGACACACTCGCAGTTACAGACCTCCCTGTTATCTTCACCAGGTTGTTCAAGTGTAAGATAATAAAATCTATATCGATATTAGCTAACCAGCTAGCCCAGCCTGCTAGCTGCGTGTTAGCATTAATAGCAATATCTGTGCAGCATCGCCGGTCCGGACACGACAGGTGAAATAAGTCCTACCTGTGAACGTCACCGGCTCTCTGCTGGTGAACTCATACTGTGATGTGTCTGTGTCGGTGTTAAACTCGCAGCCGTGTTTCTCCTCAGGTCACAGTTAGCTCCGCCGTTAGCCGTCAGCCTCTCTGCTGCAGAGACTGTTATTTCTCTTCAGTCAACACGGGAGCACGTGACCTGAGCGCGAGGACCTGCTCTGCTGCAGCCGCATCTACCGCATCTAATGCATCTAATGTATTTACTGAATCTGCAGCAGCAGCGGTGCGTTCATGTACATAACAGTCATATGTTTCATATGTTTTATCTTTTACTTTATTATCTACTGTATATGTGCCTATTGCTTTCTTTATTTTCCATCTAATGGCTTCATGTATTTTATCTTATCTTAATCGATTTTGTTGTATTTTATTGCTCTCATTGTTCTTTTATTATTTTTTTAAAAAATTGTTTTTCACTTATTTATCTCTTCACTTATTACCTGTTGAAAAGCACTTTGGTACGCCGAAAGGATTGTTGTAAAGGGCTGTATAATCTATGTTGTGTCCACGTGTGTCCTCCTCAACACTGTTACTGTGTCGGTTCGCACTGGAAACTGGATTAAAATTCTTAGTATGAACAAATATACTCAGCCAATAAAACTGATTCTGATTCTGATTCTTCTTGAATCGGGACTCAGTTGATTTGACTGATTTCTGCACCTGAAGCTCTTCAGATCTTTTACTGACTGAAAGTGGAAGTTTAGTGAATCTAAAGATCTCGGTTCAGCTTCAGAACTTTTCTCTGATCTTTGCTGTTATCTGTGAAATATCGGATCATTTTTCCTCTTTGAGTCTTGAATAGTTTGATAGTAGTATAGTAGTAATAGTAATAGTTTTAATAGTATGAAACTGTCTGAGAAGAAATTGCTTTTTCTTCAGTATAATTTTACAAAAAAAACAAAAACTACTTGATTTTGTATCATTACCGTCCTTTCCCACACTCCAGTCCAGCAGGTGGCGGTAATGCACCTGCAGGCTGGTTTATCAACCGCCAGTCAAACCCGAGTAAGACGAACTATGACGTCACAATGAACCGACCAATCAGATCACTCGTGGCGGGGATTTGAGAACAGAAATGGCTGAAGTCCGAGCGTAAGTCTCTAAAAACTTCAACATTTAACGTTAGTCCTCTCAGTTAACGTCTGCTCTGTTCAGAGGAAGTGATTTAAATGTGTCTGGACGTTCAGCCGAACTTTCCCGCGCCAAACGATGAACTCAAATGTGTGAAACCATGAGATTTAACGGCAGTGACGGATGTTCGAGAGCTAGCTAGCTAGAGCTAACTGACAGAGCTAGCACTTGTTGTTGTTGGTCGGTTTTCAGACTCCGTGTGAAATAAACATGGCGCGCTGTTGTGTGTCTGTTTGTTGTGTATCTGTATCTGTTGTGTGTCTGTGTTTGTTGTGTGTCTGTTGCGTGTCTGTGTCTGTTGTGTGTCTGTGTTTGTTGTGTGTCTGTTGTGTGTCTGTTGTGTGTCTGTGTTTGTTGCGTGTCTGTGTTTGTTGTGTGTCTGTTGCGTGTCTGTGTCTGTTGTGTGTCTGTTGCGTGTCTGTGTCTCTGTGCTTCAGTGTGTTGCAGCGCTGTGATCCGGATCTGCTGGACCCCCGCGGAGACTCGGAGCAGCCGGACTCTGCTGAAGCAGCCAGGATGGTCGTCTACCTCACGGTCAGGAGTGACGTCAGGCCACCGCCACCTTTACATCTGTGGAAACTTGATTTCATTAATGACACACACCATGGACCAGGTCCAGATCAACAACCACTGCACTCAGACTTATCAGCCCTGGACTAGATTATAACAGACACCATAAAGATCTTTTAAAACACAGATTCAAATTTGTCAGACCTTTATTCAGTTTGTGAAAAGGCAAACATAGCAATTTACAGATGCTTTCTGTACACATCTGGACCACATCAGGCAGTTTTAGGACTTGTGTGTTTATCTGTGTGACTGAACTAAACAGGGACGCTCTCAAACCCAGCACCATGAAACTGCATCACATCCTCCTGTGGGACAGAAAACTGTG